TGTGTGTGTGTGTGTGTGTGTGCAGGCGGCTGGATGGGAGCACCTTTGTGGCGCGGCAGGACTTAAGACGCAGTCCTCTCACAGAAGGCGTAGCATGAGCAAGAAATGTTAATGTGTACTCGAAGCGAAATTTCGAAACCAATATTGAATGAGTCGCAAATAAATTGAGTTACTCAAACACAGTGAACATAAGGACGGGGCGCGCACGAACTGTGTTGGTTGTTTGTGTTTGGAAGGCTCCAAATCTAAAAACGATGGGGAGGGGGGGAGGGGCATTTTACCACGAGAAGAAGGGGAGCCCGACGTCAGCCGGGAGAGCCGACTGGTTATAAATGAAGCGGGATCTCACACTCAGTTCTGTTTCCTGTACTCTTAGCATTGACGCGAAATCTTTACCCTTTCTATTATGGAGATGCTGGGCTTCGTTTAGAGATATTAGGAAGTAACCAGTGGCTGCTTTTACAGCCCACGATTTGGCGAGCGACCGATCGCGCGACTGGTCGGAAAGCAGCCAGTGGGGTCGTCCGGCTAGAGCCGGGCATCCCTGCTTCTCATGACGAAATAGCATTAATCGACTAATACGTCAGTCTTTCCTTTGAGCAAATGATATTTACTTCCCCGAACACGAAATTCGGCACAGGACTAATGGGGCACTGTAAGTGGTATTCAGTATGTGCCGATGCTTATGGCTAGGGTGCACTTCGTTTCGGACAACCGTCGAGAAAGGCCACGCCGCAGCCGTCGCATGCGGCGCATGTGCCCGCGACACTTGAAGGATGTCGCAGTTGTCAGTGGAGCATACGATTTGCGCTTGGTCCATGGCAGACAGCCCGAAGAGAAGATAACATGGACTAGTGCAAATCATTCGCTCCACTGACACTTGGTAGTATTGCCAAGTCATCTCGAGAAGTGAGTAGGCTGCGCCACTCGTGAAAGGACCGGGTGACCTAGTTCCGACGGCCGCGCGGAACGGACGATCATGCCTATAATTAGTAGTCTCGATCGGTAGTACTTCGTCTTAAAAATAATCACCCATTGAAGGTTCAACTGTTAGGTACCAAAACCTTAATTGACCCTCACAAATATTGTCAAGTGATAATATCACCATTATCAGATGTCGCTGTCAATGAAACTTTCAAATCTTCCCACACTGAGCGACTGCGCACGATCGGGTGTGGTACGCCGTTTGGGCACGAAAACCCCCCCCCCCACGGGGGCGTGCCGTGCTTGTCACATCTGTCAGATATCGTGTAACGGACTGCGAGAATTGCCAAGCAGTCACAGTGGGGGATTTAGGGTAATGTAGTTTGATGTCACATGATTTCCCACATCCACTGTGAGATAGTTGTATGTTTATAAATGAAGTGAAGTCATTCGAAAGTAGTTGTATGTTTATAAATGAAGTGAAGTCATTCGAAAGCTGAAAACGAATCTTACAGGATTGTTTAGATATTTATTCCCCATCAACAATATTTTTCTGAGAAGGACACTCGTCCCATTCACAAATATAGTGGAACTTGATGCTTAAACTGATATCATTCCAAGTGTCATAGTGTTCTTTCTTCGTGTTCATGTTAACATTGTGATTTTCATTGCCTCCCATATCATTTGGTTCACTTCCAAACCAACTCCTATATGTGCAGTTTTCACCGCTCAACCACTCCCATTGGTTTCGATCTATGTGATTACGCACCAGTCCAATCCAGACTGAATTCAACACATCAAGATGATCCGGATGAAGAATTGCAAGTCCGGCAATGAGATCGTTATCATCCTTATCGCATATGGTAACCAATTCACCTCCCATATATCGGCACATTTCGGAAGCACTTGGAGCCTCTTGTAAATCACAATATTTCCTGTTGCATTTTCCATTTTTGGGATTCGTAATATACGGTGAACATGGAATCGGTCCCAAAATGGCGATGGCGACTCTGACAAAAAGCTCGACACAATGATTATTCGGAATGTCAGAGAAGGCATATGGTAGAAAATTTGCCTGAAGCAAGGAAATTCGCATCAAAGTACTCTAGCCAGAATATAATTTGAATTTCATGGTCAGATTGATTCTTATTACAAAAAATCTTCTCATTCTCAACATGGTCTACAACTAGAAAACTATCTTTATCCAACGAATACCTATTGATTCCCTGACATTGAATCACAATTTTAGCTCTACTTGTTCACAGCCTCTAAGAGAGAAGTAACCAACAATTGCAGCGGGAACGTCTGGCTATGAAATGATCTATGCTGGCTTCATGTTCTTCTGATCAAGCGTAGTGGTACCTTTGATAAGATAGGGTGAGGCAATATACTCGACTTTATTCATCAGGGTTTCTCAGGCGCGAAGGATTCGCTATCAATCACAGAAGCGAAAGTTCTATATGGGTCAGGGTCATGGCGAGTACCGTGGCGACAGAATCTTATTTCTATTAGGTTTCAAACACATTTTATTATCTGATAGAAAGCATCGTAAAAAGGGTGGCAATCAAAAAGACGTATCGCTGATGTGATGCCGAGTTACACATATTTGATGAGCAGCAGCAAATGTTGAATGTTTCTACGTCTATCATTTCTTCGTAGCAACCTTCTTTCTGAAAAATTTTTTTCTCACGGGACATTCAAAACATACATTCAAACTGTTATATCTGGGAGCAAATGGGCAGGAGGGTAAGTCAAGAAGTTGCCCGTAAATTGCCCGTTCCTTACCGCCCTATCACAGCTGCATTCCGAGTGAAACGGTGAAGTTCCTATTTGGGTAAGTAGTGGTAATTATCAAAATTGCAATCATTTTGGCTTTGAAGAAAACTCTATCGGCCTCAATCAGACATCTGCAAGCACTGTCTCAAACATGGAACCAATTCTGGATTCTGAATACTGAGAAGAACGTGTTCTTATGTAGAGGGTGACCCAATGAAAGGGATTGGGTCTGAGCCAAAATCCTAAACAGTGAGCGGGATGAGGAGAACGGTAGCTCCAATTTAATGACACTTACTTTAGACTTGGGCCATCTTCAGGAGAATTGTAGGAATTACCCGGCTCCCTTCAGCTCACGAACAACAATTTTCGATTTATGGGTCATCCAATAGTTCTAAATCCGAATATAATTACCTGGCATGGGATTCCAGTGAATTGGCCTTCTACTTGTATTGGATCACATCCACGCATAGTTATTTGGGTTGTGGATGTTGCAGAAACTGGAACAGCTTTGAAAAGTCATACTTTAGGAAAAGTTCGAGCAAAAAAGGGATTGGATGGTCAGCGGAATGAATGCGCCATGTGTTCGACGGTTGCTTGAATTCGTAGAGGTGTTTGAATGCAAGCATTTGTCGCCTTCACTGGAGGTTTCTAGAACAATGTCTGTCTCTCCACCTGAGCAGGCATTCCTGATTTTCGGGGATGAAAAAGTACAGAAAAGGCCAACTGACTTGATTCCCGAGGAAAACGAAAAGACCACGGTCATTATCAAGAGAAGAGGAGATTTAGAGGCACAGTTCATGATAGTTTTGAGGTACCCCCTTTTAATCAAAAAGCGGAAATACAGGTTACGAATAGTAGTGAAAGACACGAGAGAATCTACCGATTTTCATGAAAAATGGCTCCGTAAGAGTACAGAAAACAGAGGTTGGACGAGATCACCATGACGGAAATAACATGGAAGGGGTATTCGGACGAGATTTCAGTCCGTTGTTGCAGTTGCACAGATCCGACATATCAAGACAAAATTGTACAGAACTGCGTTTCACTGTCGTTAAGGGTCATGAAAAGTTGTTTGAACTTTCTACATGGGAGTCTCGGATCTATCCGAGGGGAAATCTCAGAGACCCATTTTTATCGTGAACTGTGCCCATAAAGATGATCTCCGAATTTCCCTATGTAATAGACGTAAAAAACATAGATATGAGATTACTCACTGAAATGTCCAGTAATCTTTTGGCAGAATTTCACGTCATGGCCACAATCGACAATTCGGGATGGTTGATCGTAGTCAACGCCATTGAGAACGCCTGAAATAAACTCTTTATCCCAGTTCAAGAGATAAACACGCCCATTAGGTGGGCGGGATTACCGAGGCCATTTCGCAATCGCCATTGGTGTTTCCCTTTCGTAAACATCAGTGGTATATTGACTTGTCATCAGAAGAAAAAGTTAAAAAGTCTTCTGAAACCGACCTCGAAGTTCATCGATACATGTGAGTAGTGGAACGTAGTCAAATCGTGCTGCTATGCTGCTCTTCAATGTTGTTCCATTCGATGCCAGTACTACATTTGATAATTGTAAAAGGGTCCCAACAAGGAATACAGTATTCTGGAACCTCATCAGTACAGTAGCACAGAATTGGTCGAAGATCAAGGCTGGACTGGTTCTTGTGACTATTAAAATAATGGGTCCGTGTCAGCAATAAAACTGATAACGACACATTACGGCTACTGAATACGGAAAGGTGTGCGTCAGTCATTTGACTCACAAAGAACTGCCTATGTAAGATGGTTCTAGAGCTATGTGTATGCAAAAGAGCGACTCGCCGGATTCATCCAGAACATAATCGCCGTGTTAAGCTACTTTAGTAAAAGATATAGTGGAATCCGGAAAGGGTACAGCAAAGTCGGGAGGCACCTTTTAAAAACTTTCAGTTGTCCATCCCAGTTGAGATCAAGTGGGGCTCACTTTCAGCTGCTTGAGGTCATCATTTAAGTGCTTAGGAAGTAGTATGTAGCAGTTTCACACATCGGCTAACACTAGACAATCCGCTTACCTTTCAATGGAAATAGAATGAAGTCAGGCTCATTCGGCAAGGGATTTGAATGGCTTGCTCATCGATTGCCATATTTTCTTCTTGTTATGTTTTCTTAATCCAGAACATAATCGCCGTGTTAAGCTACTTTAGTAAAAGATATAGTGGAATCCGGAAAGGGTACAGCAAAGTCGGGAGGCACCTTTTAAAAACTTTCAGTTGTCCATCCCAGTTGAGATCAAGTGGGGCTCACTTTCAGCTGCTTGAGGTCATCATTTAAGTGCTTAGGAAGTAGTATGTAGCAGTTTCACACATCGGCTAACACTAGACAATCCGCTTACCTTTCAATGGAAATAGAATGAAGTCAGGCTCATTCGGCAAGGGATTTGAATGGCTTGCTCATCGATTGCCATATTTTCTTCTTGTTATGTTTTCTTAGAGACTTTGTGTTGACGAGGGGCAGAGCTGTCCAACTCTAAGCCCCATCTCAAGACGTGTTCCCATCTCCTTGCCTCACGGAGTGTACAACACCCCCCCCCCCCCCCCAGTACCTTCTTCCAAATACTCACTTTAAGGCCTGAATCACATGCATTTCCACTTTCAGAAACAAAATTTATTCACTTGGACATAGGTGCTGTAGTGCCAGGTGGCTCACAGTCACCCGCATGACCCAGGGATCGAAGCTCAGGGAGCTTGAGCCTTCCATTCTCCAGGGAAAGGAGGGTTGGTACAAGACTCGTCTGAATTTACGAAAGGATTGATTCGTACATCGGCTGGCCACCGAAAGTCAGTGTATAGACCACATACACATTCGAACCGCCACTACAATTCTGAATGGAAATCGGTCATCATAATTCGTTTCTGTCTATGCCTGCCTACCTTGCCTTTCTGTTTACTATTACTATTTACTTCTAACTGTTTCATTCGGAGAGCGACCTTCTGCTTCCTCGAGTATGACCTCACAGAAACAGATAATTTCCGATTTCGGATGAATTGAAGTGCGTCGGGGACCTATGGATCGCAAATAGCAAAATATTTCATAACAAAAATACCAAGGATGAACAGCATCTTCATAGAAACACAAAATATATAGTACAGAACCTAAAGCGTTGGTGAAGACTAGTGCTTCGCGAGAATGGCACAAATGATGACCTTGACAGGTTTTATACTTGGCGTCTGCTGCAAGAGTAAGGCGTGGTCCTCGGCAAACAGGATTCGAAAGTCGATATCTATGCTGAGACGGATGTCTTTGTCATTCTGAGTCTCTTTCACACCAACACTCTTTTCTAACCCGTGTGAGCTATGCCTAGCGAGCAGCAGACGCCGAGTATAAACGTAGTCTTGTGGCATCGCTACTGAACAGCTTAATTTCATAACAACAACGACCTTTTTTTACAATATACAGAGAACATCAATGGTCACGAGGCAGTCACTATAGAATTCTTCAAAACACTGGGTAAATCCAGAAACACATAATGTTATACCGGTAACGATGAGAACCAGAACAATGTGGCGAGCTTCTGAACGTCGTCGGAGCGACTGTTCGCTCTACTGTTAACATGCTTAAGCGCGATTGTTCAGCATGTTCAAGGCAGAGTGAGCCTAAAACCAGCGATATCATAGACGTCGTTTTCTAGAAGCTATTTATATACCTGCGCTTGGACGAGTTGCTGAAGTAGAAAGAGCTGTAAGTCAGACGATGGAAAAGGAAACGGCATCTTCATTGCAGAGGGATTGACAAAGCTGAAACTGATACTACGAAATTAAGTCCGAAGTTAGACAGCTTTGAGCAGGCGATGGTATAGATTGAGATGTAATGGTAAGTGTTAACTGAAGAAATCGTGACGATTCACGAAAGTGGCAACTCGTTCGAAAAAAAAGCGAGGACCGCTTGCAACTTACAGTCCTTCATGGACCAACTTTTTTTGTTTTCGCTTAATTTATATTACTTCCGTAATTTCTGAGCCTATTTCGAAGAGGAAATAGACGTACGTACGATTGCCGTGGGGTAACCCAATACTGGGGTCATCAGTCCCGGTGGCGAAGTTTAGACTGAACTTCTCACGATCGCGTAGAAGCGTCTTCAAAACTACGTCGAACTGTAGTGATGTTATTCAATAGCGCCAAGCCGGGGGACGGAACTTACGTGCGTTTGAGGCGATTTGAACGACCTTAGCGCTTATCATTGGGGCCCAACTTTGAAGTAGAGTAGATTAGTAGGATCGGCTAATNCCACTAAACTACTCTACTTCGAGTTTGTGCCCCGAAAATTGGCGTCAAAGTCGTTTGATTCGTCACGAACTTCGCCGCGCAATTTGCCGCGCGCATCCTCGGACGCACGTATGTACCCATACCCCGCCAAACCACGCCCCCATCAATCGATTGGACGCGATTTCCGAATTTGACCTAGTAATAAGGTGCTCCAATTACCCATCAGTTTTCCTTTGAATCTCGGCGGGTGAGTGTGGCACGGTCGTCGAGTCTGAACACTCCTGCCAACGCTACATATTCTCCCTCGTATAACGTAGTTTGAAAGCCAAAAGGATGCAGTGACTCACGCATTCCTCCACGATAAGTCCAATGGAGCAGCGGTATGCTCCGCACCGGAATCGTCTGCTTTTCGTTTTCCAAGAAGAGATGTCGACATTTCAGCCTGAAATGGGCCATGATCTAACCACGTACCGACTCATATTTGGGTAAACTACCTTTTCGGCTTCACTGGCACCTGGATTCGAACAAGCTGCATCAGTCACACCATTCGATATGGGTTGTATCGTTGGTGGAAGACCGACGGCTGCTGTAGTGGGCAGGCAAGCGGTCTGGAAATATATGGTCATCATAGGTATAGATAAGCAATGCCTTTTGAGAATCGAGTGGGCGCCCTAACAGCTGGGAGGCGGAGCTAGGTGTCAGTGAATGCAATGGGTCCGGGAACTTCTCCTCTAACACGGCGTCGCACACGCCGCCTATCGCAGGATTGCGATGAAAGATTGGAGCGCGCAATTTGTGAGGTAGGGAGTCCTTTAACTATTTGAATTGGCTGGTCGCTCCCTTCAATTTCAATGCGGTATTGATCTTCGTTTATATAAGAGGAGTCATTTTAATTAATCAAGTCTAATAAACATGAAAACTAAAAAGAAACAGAAGAAAAAACGATAAAATCCAATGAAAAAGCAAGCCAGTCAAGGAAAAATATCGCGTCCTATCGATTTTCGGGAGGCGGGGTGAGTACGGTAATTGCATTGACATTCGCCGCATGCCGCAAGGGAGAATGCCGCGATAGGGGAGAAGTTCCGTTACCCGAATGCAATAAATGCAGTCTGATGCCGCGAGACAACTATCAAAGGTATTGGCCTCGCTCTTGCGCTTGCAATGGTCCTTACTTACGTTTGCAATGGCAAATTCAAAACTGGGGCTTTCCATGGTTCCTCAGCAGGATGACGTCTCTCATGGGATAAAACTCGACTGTTCAATTTTTTGAACCCCTTCACCCCTCATTTTTGCACTTATACATGAAAAGCGGAGGTAGAGCTGGGGCAAAATCGCCATTACTACAAATCTTTCCCGTGGATCAAATTCTACTATGGACCAAAATCATAAAAATAATCTTTGACCTTATGGTCAATTAGATTCCACCAAATCTGTTTGGTGGAAAAAGAATACTATGGGTCGATAATTTGTTGCTGCTGACCACGCGGATGCCAGGCTAAATAACCCCTGGAATTCTGATTGGAACTCAAATATATGGCCCTCCCAAATGGGAATCGATCAGTGTTGTATATTTGCCCAAAACCCTTTTCAACTCCATAACTGGGCTCTATAACCCATGAATAATCTAGGTATTAGGCTGTTTTTATATTGTGTTCTGTCCTTTACTCATGTGCATGTATGCATGGGGAAGATAATTATTGATTGATACGCGCGCAAAATCAATACTAGCATTACCGTGGGCGTTTGAAGTATGGAAGCGGCTTACTGTCGACAGTCATTTCTTGAATGTTCACTTATAGTTCTGTTCTATATTATGTAAAATTGGTCCATGCGGTGGAGAAGGAGTAACCTTGAGATGTTAGGATTGTTTTTTTTGGATTTCAAAGCTAATTTTTGTTAGAAAAATTTAAATAAACTTCCAATTTGACGAATATGTCGAAGCACTGTAGGTGAAATAGATTTCTAGTTCTACGCCATACCAACTACCGTACCATTTGGTGCCACTTGTTAGAGTCCTTTTCAAGTTGGGCTACTGGCTATTATTACCGTATACTCGAAGTCGCTGGCCAGTGCACACAAAGCATTTAATGGGTGCCGTCATAGAACATTTCACTTCTCCATCGCAGAGAAAGTCTAGAGACACTTCCTTTCCACAATGTACTTTTTTGGTGGTTACTGAAGCTTCTTCTTTGTCAACTCCCCAGAGAGCAGTTTCGTTGACGCCGCTTTTTACTGGCCCTTGTTGCACCATGATGCTCTTCTTTGAGATATTTCGTTGAGTTCTCAAACACTATCCTTTTTCACTTATGATGGTCACTGGGAAACGGTAAGATCACCAAAAATCGTTAGTTCTTTTTTTCTACTTTTTACGGCAAGAAAGACCTAAGCAATGGAATGCGATGATGCCGGTAAGGAAAGACCGAAAGGGCAGGATCTCGATGAGTATTCAGGTCGACAAATAGCCTGGACAGGGCGTAATACGGGCCCAAACCAGTAGTCCACGTTAGTACCCTAAGCGGACGTGTTCTCACGGAGGCTGTAGAGTTTTGCACATTCGCACTAGGACGCACACGGCAGCTTACTGTAGCCAGCTACGAGCGATGGCACACACATTGAGGCAGCTCGTCCGAATACCTCTTCCATATAATTTTTTGTATAAATGATAGTTCCAAATAAGAGTAAAGTGTAAGGAAAGTTTGTAGTGAAGGTTGAAGGCAAAGAAGCAGAGGACATACCGCTGCTGCCATCGTGAGTGCCGCGGCATTGATACCGACCTGATCTCGGAACGTTTGTGCAGCTTCGGGCATGTGCAGTTTCGGATTGGTATTAGCCGAATGGCGATTTCTGTAAACAAAAATCGTATAGGTAAGTGATTGAGCTGTGGATAGCGGTTGGTTAAGATGACCTACCGGCTCCGTCGGCTGCTGAATTCCTTACCACATCCGGGTATTGTGCACATATGCATCTCTTTCAGGTGGACGGCACTTGTATGAATTTTCAAGGCTCCTTTATCACAGAACGACTTATTGCATCGTTCGCATAGAACACGTTTCTTCATCTTGTTACTACTGAGTGGGGACTGCAAAATTCTTCTTAAAAAATGAAAAAATAGTTGAATTCAGAATCAGTCCTTCGTTTTCTCTCTCTTATAATTTCTTTATTGTGGAAATTGTGGAGGTCAAAGCTGAGATTTTTAACGTTAACAAGTCGCGTTCATCATATACGCCCTGCACTCGACTTTCATTCAGAATCATGTTGACGTTTTGAATGCGTATGTGGCCTATACCATTACTTGCAGTAGCCTGCCGATGTACAAGTCAGTGCTTTTATGCTCCTAGACGTGTCTGGTGCCGATTACCAAAAAGTAGGGGTGGGTAGCTCAGTAGCTCTAAGCAGATATCATTCCAGAATTTGGTCTTAGGATTGTGCATGCGATGGTATGCTTCCATCACTACCCTACCTCCATTATACCTCCATTACTCGAGTAAAATTCGTGAAAGCGGTCGTTTCTTTGCGCACCATCTTTATCAGCTTATTTATTTACCTAAAGAGTAACTTAAGTTTATTTTGGAAGTTATGTTAGTCAGTATTCAACATCATAGAGACATCTGTAAGCATAAATGACTTCGGGGATCGATCGAATAGAATTCAGCATTTACACCCTCCCAAACAATTCAACTGCTCCCAGACGAGTGAACGGATTGGCAGGAATCGAACCGAAATTAACTTTAACTGAGAACTTTAATACCTGATTTTAATGCCGACATCGATTCTAGTGAAGCCGATTTCAATTTTTATCTACGATAAAGGACTGTGCTCTGTTCTGCTCTGCGCCATGAACTTTCCTTTTGTTTGGAATCATTAAGGGATTTGAAAAACCCTTATCCTCTACAGTGGAGTACTTAGTTTAATTAGTGCGAAAATTAGTGTATTCATTCTCCCGCACAACACAGGAGCCCATCTGGGGATTGCACGCTTAGTTTCAGGGCTCCTACCTGCTATGCCACTTCGATATTTAGAGAGAAATAACTGTTCATGTGAGAGACGGGACCAGTGAGGCCGGGCCAGGCCTTTGTGATGTTCTACCCACCTCACACAAGATACTGGACTCAGCGGAATCCGGCCGCGAAAGCGCTTCACTGGCGGTCTGTTGAATCGGAGATGTGGAACAAGCCGACACTTCGACGGTGGGACTTCTACCATTAACTGCCTGCTCAGTGACTTCCGATTTCTATGTAGGAGGGATAATTGAAATGTGAAAAACGAGTACGGGTGCTGGAGGGTAGAGGTATGATATTGATGACATCTAGCAAAGTGTATGAGAATGCCAGAATATCGCCTGCCATTCCAGAGAGGCGTTGAGATTTAGAGGGTCGCTATGAGTGATGGCCGCATCGTCACCCTATATATTTCAGCGATGGCTGTCAATAGGCCACCCGCTCCAGGACGAGGCGACTGAACACTTCGGATGAGTCCCCAAGGAGTCACCCTCGATGTGAGCGTTTGCGTCTCAACACGCCTCAAACACGTCTTCAACACTCCCGATCAGGCACCTCTGGGAGTATCACTTGCGGATGTCAGGAACAAGAATCGGACACCGAAAGTAACTGCAAAACTAAAAAGATCTTGTGGCTACATCATGCCTTGGACTGCGAACTGCGAGGTAAGGTGCAAACAGGGCGCGCCATGCACTCCGCTACCGCTCAAAATGTGGAGCTGCGGTCTCCAAATCAAACGGCAGAATCCTTAACATCTCGACACTTATCATTCCCTAGTTCAAGAACGTCCATCTCGAGAGTTGAGAAGACGTGTTTTCTTGCCTCCACCCAGGTCTCAAAGGTCTCATAGCGGCAGATGATCTAGAGGAATGAAAGGCTCGGATCGTATGGTCGGAATTTGATGCAGAAAACTTGACCCCTAGGCCTTGCAAGGCCCTTCTACCCTGCTCTTTCCTTGCTCTTACCGACCCATATAGCAATCTATACGTTAGAGAACTAGCACACCCAGGTCCCGATAGTTCGGCGTTCAGAAACCCTGATTCCCCTCACCCTGAATCAGGCTTTGCCTGGAGTTTAGCAAAATATGTGTAGCGTTCAGATTTACTAAGAACCGGCCACTCTGCAGAGCTATCTCCTCTACATTTTTATATTGCCAGAGCAACTCATTTTTAAGAACGGCCTCTAAAGTTCCATCATTAGTTAGGGATCATAAGTAAGCTTTTTCTGAGGGTTGAGCTGGCTCAGTAAGTCTCGAAAGCCTTGCCCTGAGCTGGGAACCCAAGAAAACCTTCCTGGAGCTCCAAAAAANAAAAAACCGGTGAATCTCAATTTCTTTCTTCCGTAGGCCATCTTAGCCGTCATGTCACGGCCTGGTTGATTTTCGTCGAAGCCTATCGTGCGTGGCATATAATTAACCGATAGATTTCTGAATTCAAATGTTCCATGACTGAGAATTGACGCGGTGACAAAATAATGGAAGGTCCGGTAGGCTCTTAAGTCGGAGCTCTCATTAACTTGGATGGGAGCAGCTTCAAGTGACGCTCTCCATAACTACTACTTACAGTTGGAGGAGACGAAAGGTACATACTCGTACTTGGGATAAGGAAAAGGAGGAAACGAAAAAAGGAGAGCAGAAACTGAAAGGAGCAAAACCTGATCGACTGTGTACGGCTGGGCTTTCGGGATGAACTGAATGAGCTCGGAGGAAATGGCGACAGTGCTTACCGCTCGACGAGAAAGTCAGTGTCGACAATGAATGGCTCGGGTTGACAGCATTGTGCCACGTGTTAGCTGATTGGGATAAGCTCGTCCACGTGCTTCTACTCGTCACATATCACCATCGAAAAGCTGCCAACCCAATCGACCTGTCCTCATTCCGTCGTGGGCTCGGATCGAAACGGCGGGAACCTCCCAAGGTTCGTTTGCTCAAATGATGAGATCCCTCTAGAGGGTTACCCACTCTAGAACCGTCTCTTCCCTGAAGGGACGCTATGGAAGAAGTGCCATCTACTGAACGACACTGTAACTACAGTGGGACGGACAGGGAACGTTCGACCTGGTTTTCCGCCAGCACACATTAACCCCACATCATACATTTGGCCATAAAGTTACGGTAGCCATTAATTACATTACAATAAGTCATGGCATTTCGAAGGATACATGGGCCTNAACCTCCCAAGGTTCGTTTGCTCAAATGATGAGATCCCTCTAGAGGGTTACCCACTCTAGAACCGTCTCTTCCCTGAAGGGACGCCATGGAAAAAGTGCCATCTACTGAACGACACTGTAATTACAGTGGGACGGACAGGGCACGTTCGACCGTGTTCTCCGACCACACGCCTGCACACATTAACCCCACATCATACATTTGGCCATAAAGTTACAGTAGCCATTAATTACATTACAATAAGTCATGGCATTTCGAAGGATACATGGGCCTAGGCCCAGTGATCACGTCTTCGTGGTCGATTGGCTCTGGAGCAAATGAAGCTGGGGCAAGTCCAGAACGGAGGGGAGTTTTGAACCGCTACCGAATTTCTGGACTTTTTTCCCGAAGTATTACTTTAAGAATCAAAAACTGTGGCCAACACGGCAACAATCGCCCTCCCATCCTTCTCTTTATCTTCTCCTTCGATTGCTTTCCCAATCTTCTCAATCTTACTCCGAGCGGGAACTTCTGGAAAGTCCCAGGTAGGAACATTTTCACTTTTAAAAGAAGTGAATCTTTTTCTGAATCCAACTAATGCTCGTAGAGAAAAGATCATCAAAAATTTGCGCCAGGGATTTTTTTTTGGGGGTCCGTCGGCACGGAAAACCCGCACGGCCACGTTGGAATGACGATTGCGCCGGGTGCCGACATTTAATAGGAAGACTGACACATAGAGCAGAAGAGCGNACCAGTTTGTCGCTGCAATTACCAAGTACGGGAAAAAGCAAGGGCTTTGAGAAATAAGAGACAAAGTCAGTGTTTTCCTGTAGAAACAGCAACAGGACCTCAGCATAATACAAAGAATGACTAAATGACGGGGCGGTCGACGAGCCATGTGGGAAGACGGGTTGAAATGGTATTTCAAAGTGGAGATAATAGGGAAAGACATGTGCATCTCATCAGCGACAAGACAACGAATTATGACACCTCGGAGCGACAAAAACGAAACAGAATGGCCCCGGACCCTCGAGAGTGACTAGGCTGGCCGCACACGCGTGGCACCACCTGGACCAATGCGACCCCGGAACGAAGAAGCAGGCAGCTAGGGGAGGTAAAATATTTGTCGAATAGAGCTTTGTCGTCGCCTACTTCGTCCACCACCGTCTGTGTTCATCGTCGCGCTTTGTCAACCGTAGGCGATAAAAATCGACGGAGCTGGACGATGTCACATTAGTGCCGACATAATGATGAACGGATAGCAATGTGAAAGCGCCAACGGGCAGCACTGACGAACGTTCTAGGATGAACGTCTGTGGGCGGATGGGTAGTCTTCAGATGAGCATCGGACGAAATTCCACCGAACAGAGGACTATGCCGTATGTGGGAACAAAGGTTACACGTAGCCTCCTGTTCTATGAAAGGCTTCGAGCGTGGGAAGTTGACCAGTTCCACGGTGCCACGGGACGTCAACACTGACCTCTAAACAAGTGGAGCTTGAGCATTGGAAGAGAAATTCTTCGACTGGAAATCGATTCAGTTCAGCTTGAAGGGAAGAAGCTCGAAATGGAAAGAATTTCTTCGAAGCTCAACGACAAAAGGACTAATTGTTCTGCATCGGTCAGTGTGTGTGTGAGGTGAGCCATATGGTCGGCATCCTTCCATAAGTATAAAAGCATTTGAGAGGGTATTCGACATGGACAACGAGTCATGAGACCAGCCATATGCAAGCCAAGGAATCACCTCTCTCAAAGGTGACTTTGAAGGCAAAAGGAGGTCAGCGAGCTTAGAAGTGGGAACTCGATCTGTTCATGGTTCTTATGATGACGGCGCTACGGTCCACTGCCCCACTCTACCCTTCTTTACTTGTAATGAGTGCTGCTTACCAACAGTCAACAATTTGATCCGTCGAGCCCAAAATTACCGGTGTAAATGTAGCAATCTGGGCCCCCTTGCCAACCTCGCTGTCTTTTAATTTGTGAGCAAAAACATCTAAAACCTCAATGCGTTTTGTAATATTTAACCATTTAAATGTTTATAAAAGAGTACGGTATCAAAATACCTGGAGTAGACCACTTCTGGGAGAGAGAACGGGACTATTCAACGGCAGCACAGGAAAAGTAATGACACAAAAAGTACAAACTTATTATAGGATAAGTAGAGACTTAATTCCTGAGGTCGAAGGATTCAAAGATCTTTGGAAAGTGGGACCATCTATTGGGAACTAAGCGCCACGCACTAGATTTTTCTGATCGGAGCCTCCCCTACCCTTCGCCCATGCGGTAATTTTGCTGATTTCTCCTTCCCCCGTGGGGATTCGCTGAATCGTAACGAGTTACTAGTATGATATGGCATAGTAAAGAGATGTGGAAGAATTAGAAAGAAAGATGTGTTAGAGTAAAATCACTAGTAAAAGAGTAAGAATAGAAAAGGTTATCTTGCTGATGTCACAGATGTGGCGGACACGAGACGAGGAAAAAAGGGAGCGTTCCGGTGACAGCAATGAGTTGTTGCCTATTGTCCTTTGTGGAAGTGTCATCTCAACTACTACAATACTTACTTTTTAAGAAACTATGGGGAAATTACTGCAAAAGTGTGAACGAACTGGACACGCACACGCACGAAATCGGCGAAGAAATGCACTTAGAAAAACCGTTTCGATGATTCTTTTACTGGCTCCGTTCAGTAAGGGAGAATGTGGGAATGGGAGAATATCTTATAGGGGCGATTTGGTAGTGGGAACAGTATAGATGTACTAGACCATTGGAAAACGTTTCGGACAGTGTTTCGCGAGAAACAACATTGTATGTGTGGGCTGTGGGGGATGGTGACAGGGCGAATTCTACCCGGAGACAATAGGAATGACTGTCTGCCGTCTTCCGTGAGTGATGGCGGCACAAATTGCAGCCAACGCTCACATTCCTCACTTCACAAACGGGGAGCGAAACGGCGACCACCACGACGACGTCGACGATGGCCGGCGTCGACGAAACGAGGTGGGGCGAGAGCAGAGCTTTCCCCGTATCTGTGGGGTGAGGGAGGAGTCACCTCCCATGAACACATCCCGAGACATCCGGTACCGTAGCCAGTAATTAAGTCATGACGTTATGGGTGTGGGTTGTCGTTCGAATGTCGATGGCCGGGCACTGCTGTAGGGAAAAGAATGCCGCTGCAGGCACAATCTCTTCTCCTAGCTACACGACGATAAATCGTGTCAATTTCCTCTCTTTGAGCTTATGCAAATTGTCAGAAGATGCCACGATAGCAGCGGCTACTGCTGGATGCCTGGACAACGCCTGAGTTGTTCGCTTACCCTTAGTCGCCGGCTCCTCTGAACAGGAACTGGACAAGGTACTGCAGAACAAAAAGGCTTTATCACAAAGGTTCAACTCCACCTGTTTATTTCCATTTTATGCCCAGCTTTCAGCCGAAGAGCTCCCTTCTCTTTTGTTTTCTGTCATGCCACCCTCATCTCCCTAAGGTCGTCAACAGCAGAAAGTACAGAACTTCGTCGCTGCCAAAATGAACATCGATGGACTACGGTAGTTTCTTTGTGCCTTCGGGGACGAGCTATCATCAGTCAAATGCGCATTATTCGTGTCGCGCCGGGCTGTCGCCACCCGAATTCCCGGGGGAACTGTTCCCGACGACTCACGGCCTAGACGAGCTCCGGATTCGCAAAGCCACACGAATCAAAACTAAAACAGTGAATTGCTAAACAATCTGGGACGTCAATTTCGGAAGAAAGGCCAGGGTACCGTAGTAGGGGAAGGGGGAGTGGTGTCATTAGTTACCACCTATGGTAACTGTGCCTGAAAACCGTCCTACTAGTTTGAAAACAAGAGCCGAATAGTAATAATGAAGCTCTTGAAATTTTTTTGAGTTTTCCTCTCAAAAGTAGTGCTACATAGCATATATTTTTGATCGCAGCCTTTATGTTAATGGGAGGGGCTATGCTACTGGTTTTTCCACACGATATCGCCCTTAATTTGACTTCTATTAGCCCATAAAGCGGCCCTAACATTGAAATTTCTTTCTTCAATTCTATTTGGTTCTGAGATGGATCAAGGGTCCACAAATTGGCTTTATGTGATAATGTCAGGAGGCCACAAAAAAGGATACCATCGCGCCGTTTCGGTCTGACTTCACCTATGGGGCCCTTTAAAGGTAATTTTGGCAATCGTCCGATCACGCAAGGCTTTGAAGATGAAACGCATTAGGTTTTATTTTTAATTTCAAATTATCAAAAGTCCTCTGATCAGATAACGCCCTGGCAGTTTACCTATGTTGCAGGAGCGAGATAAGCCGTGCATTTAGCTCGCATCTGAATTGGCACTGTTCTCTATGGAGTGTTTGACCGGGACAGTGTCTGATGATCTGTATTCAGAATAGCTCCCAAACAGAACACCATTTACACTGAGAGGGACGGCACGCTTAGCTAGCTCAGTCAAAATTCCATCATCGAATCTTGGTAGCGGTAAAAACGGATACAGCCGGGGATCCTGCCCTGTTTACATTTTTTTACATTAATTTTTTTCGGAAATATGGGCTCCTACCCCGAAAAAATCAAAACAGTATGGAGGCTGGGCAGCTTAAGAGGTACTGGAATTGGTTCCCAAACCCGCAGTGGGCCAAGCCTAGCAGTATTAACCTCGTTCCAGGCTCTTCATTCTGAACAGGGTAACGACTTTAGGGAAGAACTTGCGCCCCAGCTAAAAGTTGTTCAGAGATGGGCGATCAAGCACTGAACCCATTCAATTAATTGGCTGCGGAAGCTTCAGCTGGTACTTTGTTGCGGCAATAAGTCAACGTTGTAATGTCGCAACTACAGAACGGCACACATTTCATAGGGGCGGAGTCGGCGGCTTCTCTCGGATTCGTGGGGAAATGAGGAGTGTCAGGTGACAAAACACATGACGACGTACTTTTTTTTGCTGATGCTTCAGAAGACAATTTGTTGTGGATTCTAATGACACACCAAGAGATCCGCTCATAGCCACTGCTCTTTAGAGAACACACGCGTTCGAGAAGGGGTTGGGATATGCAGTAGATCAATCAGAATAAAAAATAACGTCCTCTGGCGGTCTCGGCTTTGGAATGCGCTACGCGTTCGACTTCCATCAGAATTGTAGTAGCGTTTTGAATGCGTGTTAGACCTACACAATGACTCGCGGTGTCTAGTCGATGTACAAGTCAGTGCTTTTGTCCTCCTAGACGAGTCTGGTACCAATTGATCGACCCCGGGGAATGGAAGAGTTGGTTGATACGGGCGGATGGCAGTTGAGACAGCCCCAGAGCATGAAGGTGCTAGTGCTCCTTTTGGGCTACATCACCTCCACCTACTTCTAAAAGAGACATTCAATCGTGGCTTCCGAACGCGCCATGCTCCTTGCTCCTATTCTGTCTAGGTTGAGGTACTGGGCAGTGGAATGGCCCGTACGGAGCAAAGAGCGAGGCGAGGCGATCTTCCCTTCACCTTCTTTTTATTCTTTTACAATAAAAAGGCATACTCTGAAGGTATCGAAATACTGGTACACCACATAGTAAGTGATCATAGAACCGATAAAAGCGCCACTTACCTTTGGCCCATTGTTTTGTTAGTTTAAAAAATTCGTAGGTACGGTAGAATTGAAGGAAATTTTCGTGTAGATTCAATTTTGTAAAGAAATGTTGCACTAACAAAAGGGGCTTTTGTTAACGCTACCCAAAATTGCCCGTTGAAATCATGAAATTGACATTATCCAAACTGACAGTCGAACTCCCCAGGGGGTCACGGATAGCGTGAGGTTGCGATGAGATCGACTTGTCATCCATCTCTGTGTAGCGATGTTCGAGATGGCTATGTCAACAATAGGGTCGACTCGTAGTCACTCAGAACTTAGCACCGACTCCGATGTTTTCAATGTTTATAGGGTCCGCAGGCCTTTTAATCGCTTCCCCAATCATGCTACAGCATCCTAGCAATTATTGTAGTAGTACTGCCTCTGAAAGTAAATTTTATTGCTGGGGGTAGTTTTTGAAGGCAGCAGGCACGGTGGACAGTTTCAATATGGAATTGACGGCGACCATCAGCAAGCAAGTATTCACAGGAACATGAGAGTTTGTCGGAAAGCCTAGAAATACGGTTACAACTCCGCGATTAAATCTGGAAGCTACTCGAAGAAGGGGGTCGGGGAATGGTTGGTGTGGTAGAAGTGGGTAAGCTAGGACAAAGAGAACGAAAAGTATGTTTGAATGAGTCACAGTACATTAGGCTGGTCATCTGCCGGACTATGTTAGCCCTACTCCCAGTATTGCCGTTTCATAGGAATTTTTTGAAAGGCGATGGGAGGAGTACTAAAAAAGCATGGAAGAACGGCCCAGTACCAGACAGTCCCGCCCACTCCTTCTATGGCTTTGAATACTGCAGAAAGCGGCTTTCTACAGTTCCTTGGCCATTTTGGTTGTCTCCATCCTGAATCAAAATCGATCAGCACTTCACAAAAAAGCCAAAGCCCTCCCCCGGAACTGCTCCAATCGAGATTCTCAAGCCCCAGTTCCTATCCTTGGCTGCCATTCTGAGTTGAAGCATCGGTTGCAGAGAATGGGTCAGTAGATAGTTGAAAATGGGTCAACAATGGACAGACCTAACTACATATGAATGCCACATTCGAGCTACAGATTAATTCTCAAGGTGGTGAGCATATCTGAGCCTCTAACTTGAGGCGAACGTTGGAAAGATTTCAGAGCAAACATTTGCAATAATTAAAGGCAGGTTCGTAGGTTCCTGTACTCACCATCAGTAACTATTGAATTCCTTAGTAACCACCCTGAATAGCCGTCGCTAGTACAATACCTTATCTCCTACTTCCCTGTGTCTTGCTAGAAAATTTGGATGGTAGGATCCGAGGGCGAAAACCTGCTAATCGGTTCTTTAGAATATCCGCACTTGAACAAAGACATCTTTGGTATGATTAGCTTCTAGAATTGGAGCAGTTTGGAAAACGCCCATCTCACTTGGCTTGTCAGGTGCTGTAGGCATTTCTGGACGTCTCATCAAGATCGCTGCTCGACCGCGCGCCTGATTCGCCTGTACATTGACCATGCGATCACGAAAATCGGGGTGTGGTGCGTTAGGAACGAAATGGCCGCGTCGCGGTGAGAGNAAATACAAGAACAAAAGTACTAATAGTAGAATTATGCATTAAATAATGATCGCTTATCGATTGAGCTGTATTAAGAACGCTAGACCTGAAATAACGGCGAATGAGTGGTCCGCGACAGCCGCGTGCGGCAAATCGACCCAAAATCGTTCCTAACGCCCGTCTCCCCGAAAATCGTATTGATGTTAACAAGTTTACATACCATGGTACGGTATCCACGAATGTAGTCGCTTCGAGACCATCCAGCGCTATCCAACAGATTATTTACTTGATTGTCATCTAGGGTAGATAGAATGCAGTCGGACAGAATTTTAGCCCTTACCGGTATCGCCTGAAAATTAACGAATTCTGGTGATTTTAAGATATTTTACTATGTTTGAAGAAGTACCTGATATTGGTAGAGCATATTAAAAACAGCTTTTTTGGCTGCTTGTATTGGGCAATCTTCAGGAGGGCTTGGGCATTCCCTAGCAGGGCTGCTTTCACGGCTTGACTCACTGCTGCATGAGGTTCCCGGTGAGCTGCTTCTGCTCCGGCCATGTACGGATTGCTCCCGATCGTCGTGTATCTTCAATGAAAGCTGAAGTTTTCGAGCACATTTTTATCATACATTTGAACTGAATACAAAAACCCTCAGATTAGGTTTTCCACCCATCAAAAGGAAAAGAGGGCCAAACACCCATTTCAACTTCGCTACCATTTTATTTGGAAGTCAAATGGGTTGATGAATCTCACAGGTACACTGAATAAGTACGACGTTTCACCCTTTATCGGTTCTCAATAGACTAACCTGCAACTTTTCAATTAATTCGTTAAAAATTTCTAGAACTTGTATCACGAATGAGCATTATGGCTATGTTAAGACTAATTTACCTCGTAGACGCACCCAACCAAGTGACTGCTCTGAAGTACCTGCGAGCTAACTTAGAAAAGATCTTAAATCATTCTCAGAATAGAAAGAAACCAACTTAAGGTCTCTTAGAGAAACCACCATGAATTCACAGGGAGAGAATAGGTATCTCATCGAAAATGCAACCAAGAAGTTAAGGTAATAGCTTAAGAGGCTTCCAGAAAAGAGGTGAACGTAGTTATTCATTATCAGCGAATTTTACGCTAGCAACTAAGTAATTTCAACCGACCTCGTTAAGGAAAAGCTTGAAAAAGCTCATTTTGTGAGGTCAAGGGAACACTGAGCAGGGCGATTCGATGGGACTCAAGATCTAGATTCGTTAGAAGGGTAATCCATCAGGAGCTTGATCATTTGGCTCCCATTCAGAGGCGCTTGTTTGAGTTATATCATTACCAGGTGCCCAGAAGAACTACTAGTCAGGGCTTTTGTCCTGTCATGAGGTAGTGGTGCCAAATAAGAGACGAGAGGTCCCAAAGAAACGTGAGGTTTGGATGGCTCAATCCCCTATGGACCCGGGATTCAGTCTTTGGAGTATACGTGATCTTCGCAAAGTACCTCAGATCGGTCATATTGGGAAGAATAGATTCGAAAATCATTCCTTAGCAATAGTCAGTCGATCTTAATGTCATGCAAATGGTAGCTGTGGAGGCTGGAACCGCTTCAGCTCCGCTTCATGTTATCACCAGTAATCCTCTTGGAGAAGCAAGGTTGGAATAATATTTTGGGTACGGTGTTCTAAGTTCGAAAAAGATTCTGCTCAAAAGGGTTACTAGAAGGGCGAGCAGAAGAATTTGACGCTTACAATACTGGATTGATTCATTGAGAGCCTGAAAGGTTGATATCGCTCAGACTGTACCGTACTTTTTGAACCTTCGCGGAACTTGGAAAATACTGAGATCTACTGAAAACTAACCTACTCTAATTTCGACACTTTTAGACATTTTATTTTTCAAATCTTTTTTTATCTCATCAACACTACAGCAAGTAGGATCTACTGGAACGAAGTTCGTTACACCCCTGTGTAGTTCTTATGGGAAATGTGGTGACGGCTAATTAATGGTATCTCTTCAGCAGTAAACAGATAGATGTTTTTAGCTTTTTGACGATGAGCCACTTAGTTCGCACTTGACTGTCACTTCCTAGCGTTGACGACGAAAGAATCGGATCAATTCACGCACCTGATCGGAGGCGGGGCCCGGCTCTGCCATTTTATCCTGCACATCGTCAGGGTTCATTGAGATTGCCTATAAAAGTGCCTATAAGCTGGTCGTCCTAAAAAGAAATTGTTCAGTAGTAGTACTGTACCTCCTGCAGCTCATTTTGGCTGCAGTTCTGCTCTGGTAGTGGAGGTGTCGTCGATTCGGACATGGAGTGTGTAACATATATGGTATCTGAAAGAGTAAGGTTGTTTCATGGGGGAAGCTCTCCTGCCGATGGAACAGCCTACAGAAAGATCGGCCAAGTCTGAGCCTGAAATGCCCCCCGGCTGTGTGTGTATGTGTGGAAGCATTGGAGGAATGGACGTGATGGCGTTTGTTAGATGTGACCGACGCGTTTCGGATGGGTCGTCCCATTCGTCACCCGACGGAGACAGTTGCTGTCCACACCGCTCACCCACCAAACGCTGCCATCGCCTCCAGCATCACATCTACACCCACGACCAAAGGACAATTCACACGCATACGAAAACGAAACTAAAAAAGACATCCATTACTACTGCACGTCCTTCCGTCGAATAATCTCCCTTACACTGTCATTGATACGATTCTCGGGTGGGCGTTCCGATTAATGATCCCGATTGGACTCAGCCAGTAGGGTGACTTTCGGAGCTTCGAGTTGATGAGCTACATCTTTTGGGTTGCATCTATAGGCTACTTGGGCAGGGAATCCTATAGGAAGGACCATCCTACAGGGCGCATATAAGAATCTCATGCTCTCATTGTTGTGCGCGAGATGATAGCGTAGTGATTTTCACGATCAGCAGTTTGGTTCCTGCGTGGATCAAGCCGTATCGGTATTTTGGTTATTCTGTAACCAATTCCAACAGAAAGCTTAGGTACCGATCTAAGTTCAATATATATACCCTGCTCGGACTGTAGGAGTCCAGATAGCCCCAGCCTCAACCACTAGGAATTCTTGAGACCACCCTGAAGACAGGAATTTGTCGGAAAGTGATATCCAGAGTAAAGAGTTGATCAATCAATCATCAAAACGCTACTCAAACCTTAAAACACCTGTGATTGAGAAGGGATCTTGCAATAGAACCATCTAACGGAACCATCTGAGAACTGTTCGGGGGCCTGCGCCCAAAACAGACGGAAACTTAAGTTTGACGAGTTTAGGTAGGTCTCTATGGATAAGTCAAGAAAGGTATCAAAAACGGCCTTACCAGATATTTGCGAAAACCGCCTCAGCTCAGAAGATCTTAAAAAATGAACAGACCGGGTAGAATGGATAAATATCGAGGAAAATAGCCGCGACACTGAAATCATTCGGGCCTACTGATATTTCTTACAGTATCCTGACAAACTCATTATTAGACCTATTCTATTATCACTGCTATTAATGCTAATTCATCCGCGATCGAACGAAATCAGGGTCTTTTGACTTTTTTTCGGGAACCTTCCACGATAAAAGAGCATATTGGTCATAAGTAGCTATTTAATCTACCGAGAACTGCACTAGTAAACAAATAAACAAATACAAAACACGGAGATAGCTGCAGTTAGCTCACTGCAGCCGCTCAAGTTACTTCCAGGAATTGTTTTCATAGTACGTAAAAAAAAAGTACAAAACAAAGGCAAATTTATGTTGGTGAGGTCTACAGTATGACATAGCCAGGGCTAAGGACTCCTTTACAAATATTGGCCAGAAATGGCAGTTCAATATGAAGATGGTTCCCGAAAAGGTCTCATTAGGTCTTCGTAAGTACCTGAATGGAGAGCTAAAGTCACGTGAAACAAAAATCTCAAAAAAAAAATGGAGTTTGTAGGTGTCGTAAAAGTAAACAGAGGGCTGTAAACTTTTAGAAAAAAACCAGGACATTATTTTGAGTAGTGAAAGTTCTCTACCAAACCGTAAACTTGGTAGTTAACATTTTTTCTGACTTCCTAAAGCGACTAGAGGATGTAGGAGATGGTCTTCAGGAAGAATCTTCTGGGTACTACTAATGTGAAGACATACTGGAAGAGTAACCCAAAGCGAAGGTCCAGGAATGTCGAACCGAACTGCAAGTTGTGGTTGTGTGATGGCAGAGTGATACAGGTGTGACAACGGAGAAGAGCAGTTTAATCTGATTGAGGTCCTCAGGCGGGTGATAAAGAGGCCTAACCGCCTCGGGGGCAACTGTCTGCGGAGCCATGCGACACTGAAACGAGCGCCAATTCACTCCAAGTACTTTACAAAAACATGTTGCGATTAGGTATCCCTTAGAGTGAGTCTTTCTCCCACACCATGGCCCATTGAGGGCTTCATCCGTGGTATCCCCAAAATAGGTAGCGGACCGTTTTCCATATAAGGAAGGATTTCTAGGGAGGGAATGGCTAACGAAGGGACACCAGTTGAACGAAACTCCAGTAGCCTTCAACAAAAACTTTTTTCTCTAAAGTCTTAATAGATCCAATGAGACTTTGCTTAGTGATATATTCATGTTTTTATAATGGCAAAGAATCACAGCAGTTGCTCTCTCATATGAAATGATAGAGCACCTCACTCAATGGAGTCACTTGTATATCCGGTCTCCAACGGACAAACCAAGTGATATCATTCTAAAACGGAACCTTAACTACGAAGTAAATGAGGACGCGCCCTCTACTGAATACAAACAGAACGCTAATGTACAGCGCTAGGACCCACCATCTGCAATTGCGCCATGCTCTCGACTTCAATGCAGATCCAGAGGGTACTGTGTAACTCGACCCTTGTTTTTTTAGCCAGAACAGACCGGCTACTCATCAAATACATTGTCTCCATGGTTTCCAGTGATAGGATTCCATTTCCATTTACTTACAGATATCCGCGATAGTTTTCTCTTTATTGATTAGCCGCTAGTCAAGCAAAATAAACTTTTTCTGAAGTGTTGGCTGATCGCTGAAGTTCTAGTTACCTTCCAAATTGTATTCGTTGATTAGTAATCGTGGCTCCGAGCTAAGCTCTAGAAAAGTTTGAAGCTGTTATCTCTTTCAGCAAATACTACGTACTCCCATTAACTTGAGGTGTCGGGTCTGAAAGTTTTTCCACATAATTCTTTAGAGGTTATGGAAACAACTCGAAGGTGAAGTACTCGATCATTCTCGACACCGAAATGGCGAACATCAAGTATATTACCGGTAGTTTGCATTAATATGCTGATTTAATTTTTGAAAATAGCTTGGTGGTGAGTGACTGCAGTTGCTTTCGAGATTCGCCTCGATTCCGCTTTTATCCGAAAATACGCAGATATCATGGAAGCGCATCTGATCCACACATTGAGTTTGCTAGGGATGGAGGGGTGCCTGAGGTGCGAACCACGGACTAGACTAACCAGATACGTCGGATCAGTCAGATGTTTCGAAGCCACATAGGAACCAACTCAGGGAGACTGCCCTACTCAACATTCCCTTAAGACCAATGCTGCGAAAAAATCAGGCCAAAAAGCCCAAAAAGTGCAAGTGCATTAACGTAACACATTTATGAACAAAAACTTCAGATTCAACCTCAGGTTCGAGTTCCCCAGCCAAGAACAAGCCTCGTGACCCATAGCTCACTATTCTTGTGAGAAAAAACAAAGTTATGTGTTGTCAAAGGGCAACGTGGGGAAAGCATAGAAAGCAGAAGATGTTGGTTATCCAATTGAGACTACAGGTATATCTCACTTTTTGCTACAGATTACGGTAGCTATCAATTTTTATAATCTTCCTCTGCCTAGAATGCCTAGGAACTGGGCAGCGAACTTCTGAGAATTACTTCGGTTAAAAGGGCAGCCGTATCCGAGTTTAATCAGTCGACACCACCCAGTTGATCGGGATTGTAGTCGATTTTTGTGAGCACAAAGGGTGACGCCTGAGGGTTACCCGGTCCTCTCATTCATCACTAATCTGGCGCTCTATTACAATGTGTAGGGATGACGAAAGATTGCAGCATCATGTTCGACCCCGGGGGTGAAAGGACTCGCCTGCGACATCCCTACTGACAGCCACCACCAGAACGCTGGGAATCTGAGGATTTTACCTGGGAAAAGTAGCTTGAGAATGAAAGGTGGATAGAATTGGGACCCACGAACAGGTATGATACCAGAAGCAGGACCAAAAACTATGAAAAGGAACTGAGGCGATGACGATGCCAATAGGTGACTGGCGTGACATTACAAAGGCAACATGGGTGTTTTCAATGGGAAGTGTCGCTTCTATGATAATGAGGACTGTCATCCTGAATCATGCTCCCGTCAAGCTTGTAGATATGGACGCAATGCAGAGGAACGCGTCAAAATGTCACCCACAGTTGTCCGCCCGAACTTCGGCGCCTCCGCTTGAAGAACTTCCGTTGTCAACCGTCAATAGGTGATATTTATTCTTTGTCATTACCCCTTCCCCTCAACCTCCTTTTCCCCAGTTTTTATAAATTGGAAAAACTGAGAAAGTAGATTGGGAGGGAAGGATATCCCTGCACTTGCAACTAGCGGTAGTATATGTGTCAGGATGTGCCACTAACTTGTCGAAAGTGGGTCATCCAACCTAATTTGTTAAAGTTGACGAGCTTCAGCGGCGTATCCTGACCCACACCCGTGACCGAGATGGCGCCTTCTGTCGCACTTCCGCATTCCCTCTCACATGAGCCTTGGAGATTGTCAATAAATAGTAGCTTGGTCACCTATTACAGCATCTTCAGTTTATTATATGCCTATCAGATGTTCCTCCTATCACTACGCCCCATTTAAGCTGAACCATTGCTGGCCAGCAGGGCTAAAGAAATATCCTACCCATCCTGTCTCTGCTAAGGGCAAGGAGTGGTCCAAGAAGGAAAGGCTCAAAAGAGAAAGCTTATATCATTGCTAGATTAGGCACAGCACGAACCTTAGCGACTCTTCCGTCGGCACTCTGCCTCTCTATGGCAGGGACGCAGAGTATATTTACCAGTTGCATCGAAGTGAATCCGTATTTAGTCAGATATTGACTTTGGAGCAGGTTATTTTCGAAAGATACCGCGGTGTGGAATTTTCATAGTCAGTTAGTCAGTGTAACCGTTATCTTATGAATCAGCCGTTGAGAGATTGAACGATTGATGAATCATTTGAGTGATGTCTCAGCCTCAATTACCAGATTTTCCGCAAGATGTTCCTGAAGTAGATGCGGCTGCTATAGAAAAGGTACTGTTCCGCCCATTCCAACAAGAGGATTGCTATTTAATAATCGGCCTGTTATTAATTCGTAGATAGCACGCCTGGCTCTTAATCATACTTTGTTACTGGAAAATCGCGATGAAAAACCGGAAAGAATTCCGGATCTGGAAAGTTTTGGGTTGTCGCCCCAGGAAACTGAACTGTTGGTAAGTTACGATTACTAACATTTTTTCCTTCCAGGAAATTATGATAGTATAAGATAGACAAGTTTCATGATTCCAGTTGTCGTTCTTTACCGGTATGTGGGCATATTTCATTTACCATCGACTTGGCGGACAGTCACTATCGAATGTGCTAGAGGTTTGTCTCAAAACATTACTGCTTAACTTACCCTTGGCAGTCACTCTATAATATGATGATAATGATTTCCAGTCGTTGCTACCTCCTTCTTATGTTGAAGTTGTTACCGCTATTTGGTATTCGGATGGACCATCCGTTTATACTCACTTAGCCCGTCGAACAGCTTCAAATACACCTCGAGTTCAAGACGTCTCATGGAGTATATGGTCTCAAACAACAAGGTGTGTAACTTCGTAGTATAACGTTCGCCATTAGCTATCTTCTGAGTCCGCATTTTGCCGAAATGAAGCAGATTTTTTATCTCATCCCTGATCGGATCGTAGTCATACTTCATTGTGGGCTCGGGAGAGAACGATATAAGAGTTTTACTCAGTTAGTTAGCGACTGAACGGTACCGTATAGTTTTGTGTATACTCCTTATGGCTATACAATGTCCTTGCAAATAATAAAACACAAAACACACACAAAAAAAAACAAACACAAACACAAAAACAACCACAAAACAATGTATTCAAGCACCCTTGAAACACCCTTTCATGCTTGGCTGTTACTGGGAAAGTACTTTATTTGATGGGCATGCTTTTGTTTTAATTCAAAATGACCCTTCTGTCCGTTTATTTTTGCCTTCTTACTATTTTTCAGTCGTTGGGGACATTTCGGCTTGGATGATAAACGAATTAATACGCTACGCTTTTCGGTAGCCTTGTATGCGAAAATACGGGCAAGTAGAAGGAAAAGAAAGAGCCCACTCGAATCAAAAACAGTACAAATCCACTTTTCAAATTTGGATTTGGGCTCTAAGACATAAAAAGTCCTACTGGATACCGAAATTCTATCGAATACATACGTGACCTGCAGAATCATAGTATGATTTAGGAAGTTTTTAACACTTTTTGTTTAGATTTCTCCTTTCTCACTCTTCACTGTTTAAGAATTTTCTCTTTTTTCAATTGTTCAAAGTTTTCCTCCGTTTTATCAGTTTCCAGAACCTCATGAAATTAATATACCAGCAGTCACAAGCCAAAATTTCCGATCAACTCAAGTTCGAAATTCATTAAAATGTACGACTAGCACAAAACTGTCCTCATTGGTCTCGCTCTTTTCATTAATTAGCGTTTTTAGTGATTACACACTTGAAAAAAACGATCAGCATGGAATTCGATTGGACATTGAGACCGATAAAGGAATAAAACCTGTCTTCCTCACGTCTTCCCAAGTGGCAAAACTTCACAGCGAAACCGTTCGGATACAAACGGAAATCGATAAGTTACTTGAATGAGCTGAGACACTTTTTGTTTACGTATGTTGTTTACGCTTATTGTTATGAAAAATATTTGTTGTTTATCTACATTTGTTTCTTATATGTAAATGAGCATAACTTACCTCTCAGCAATATCAACCAGTGCGGGCGCATTGTTGTTGTCGGCCTCGTGGCCTAATGGATAAGGCGTCGGACTTCGGATCCGAAGATTGCAGGTTCGAGTCCTGCCGGGGTCGAAACTTTTGCAAATCTTTCTGAGACACTTATCGATCGAAGTCAATCATATTGCATATCAGTGGATTGATGGCCGAGAAATGTTTTAGCATTTATTACTATGCCTACTAAGAATAAGGGATCATGTGAAAAATGACGAAATGGAGAATGTAATCACGACTTTCATGTTTATAATATATATTGTATTTTCTAGTAAATCATTTATACCGTCCAATTCTTACCAACATTTCTTCTTTTTAAATATCAGCCTCATTATGTGGCATCCCATCACCGTGTACATGTACAAAGCCTTGAAGTTTTTTAGGTGTAAAAACTTAAAAGTAACTTATCGTACCCCTTTAAAATTTTGACGTAGGCATAGGAACTTCACCAAAATTGAACATCTGCTTTCTATGAATACCCTCCTAAATAGGCAAATATATTAATGCAGTAAATAGTAAAATTGCTCGTACATGCACCGGAATATTGTCTATCACCTCGTTGTGTACTGCATGTGTTGGCGATCCAAGAAACTTTTACGTAAACAGCTTTACTACATATGCCTTACTCAAAACTAAACCATTCTGATAACAGCAAGCTTATTTCACATGAAAAATTTATAAAATAATAAAGTACACTACTCCGTAAGTCTATCTAAAGGTAAGAAGGCATCTACGTTGACCAGGCGAACGCGTTGTGAAAGAAACCAAACGGCGTTTCCCGAATTCAACTTACTCTAAGGAATGAAAAAGGTTTTGAGTACTCAAATCATTTTAATAATAAATAAGACCTAGATTTCTACCACTAAATGCGATCACAGACATAGGAAGTACGGAGATTCTTGAGCAAGAAACATCTACTACTTGACTCTATTACCAGAAATCATTGTTCATTGTTGTTCAAGAACCACTGCATCATATATAATACAGCTGGTGGACCAATTGGTGAATCTGCTCGGAGAATTGATGGAATCGTCGAGTATGGAATGGAGATCTGAATGAAATGTCTCATCGTACTCTCAAACAGTGGCCTTTAACAATAAGTTTAACGATTCGGCTAAAGCAGGGCACTGGCAAGTGATGTAGACACATACTGATCCTGGGGTCAGACTACAAGTGTAATTCACTCAGACTGTACAAACACAGAGGAGCCAGCGGTAAAAAGAGGATCCTATTACAGTAATTTATTGAAAAAGTGAAGATAGTCAGAATCCTAGCTCACCGGTGTAATGTCTTCGTAGGGTGTCCAATCCTTTATACGCATCGAATCATTTATTCTAGCGTAATATGCTCGCTGTCTATCTCCCGAAAAACTGATTCCAACTCTGTGAAAGATAATAAGGTCTGTGAAACAATGACAAAAAGGAAAACGAACTCACATAAATGATTTCACGTAGCGAAAAGATTGAATCTGATAGCCACATTTCTTGGCAACAATATCTCTTACTCGACTGTCGATTTCTTCCACTGAACTGCCCGTCTTATAATGTCCACTACACATTTCCAAAGTGTAGGCCCATTCTAACGGTTGTGCCTTCCAATCGACCCCTTCCAACGAGAAACCCGCGTTGGATAGGTGGCGCGCTCGACCAACTAAGGCAGCTAAACAGTAAACCTCAATAGATTTCCGCTAAGTTTCTATAAAAATAAAGATTTAATTAAAGCGGTATTCGCCAAAATAAGAAGGTCCCGCGCTCGATATTGCCACCGACTATACACAGAGATCTATTCCACAAAAGGGGGGATGTGAAATGACCAAGCGAAAAGGTTATTGAAAGAAAGAACTGCACTAAACTAATATTCTGGTAGGGACAATTAATTCGAGACTTGAAAATATTTGAAAAGTAGTCTCGAAAGGGCGAAAAACTGGCGTTCAACCTATGGTTCTTGTTTCTGATGGTAACCAAAACATCGGTTTTCAAAGATAACTATTTCTAATCGCACAGCATGCGATATAGACAGAAACTGGAGAAATCCTATACCTGGTCGGAATCGTTGTGTTAATAGCAATTCTTTTGTAGTCTCATTATACAAGAGTATAGAAATACTATCATCACATAGCGCCAGATCCCAGGTTCGAGAAAGAGAACCCTTAAACAGAAAAGCTGAACAACAATACTTCCCAATTAGAATTTCAACTACTTACAAGTGTGAACTGCATTCGATGAGGAATAAATCGTGATGATGATGACATTTTCTCAAATTTGTAATCTGTCATAGGCAACATGCCTTTGGGCCTCCATTCGTAGGCAGTGGCCTGAAAAATGGAAACTGTTGAAATGGATTTCGATCCTTCCCTGAATTTTCGCCTTACATGCTATTCACCGTTGGTTGAGTCATCTTAGGATGAGGCCTATGAGCGAACCACCAAAGTAATCCGTAGAGCATCGATGGAGGTCCAGTACAATTTTCATCATTAACAAAGTCAAGAACTTCGGACTCGCTCAGGAATACCTGGATAAGAATGACATTTATAGTAAATAGAACAATCACCGAAATTGTTCAAAATAAGTGAAAACAAAGCAATTATAAAGATCTCTCAAAATGAAAATCCTCAGCAGAGAAGCAGAAAAGGGTTCGGCAAAATTAGTAAGATAATTTCAAGTGGTTCATTTTCCTTCTTCTTTCGGGTAGCAATGCTTACCCGAGTCATAATCGAGCCAAGAGGAGCAGGGTTCGAGCAAAAAAATTATTGGAGTTCAAAAAGATGCACATGTATCAGGAGAAAAGCGAACCTTTGTAATGTATTCGTCCTCGGCGGGGTTTCCTCCACCTTCCGTTACTTTCATAGAATCATCGATCTCGGTATAAAAGAGGTACTGAATTCCTCCAGATTCATGGGCCGCAATGCTAAAAGAAAGCTCTCGAAATGGTTGAAACTTCTAAAAATGCCAATTTACCGAACCTGAATGTGGCAATCAAATGGATATTCTCGCTCTTTACAGAATAACCACATTCTTCTTCAATTTCTTCTTTCATCACGTCAACAATGGAAATATCCTACAAAAGGGTCATTACCTTTGAGCACCAAAAACTTGGGCCTGACCTCGGAAACGAACTCAGTCAAGCGGATTAAAGACCTAACCTTATCGATCAGACCAGCACATAGCTCCATTGTGTAGCCATGAGATGCCTCATAGTCAGACCACCGAACTTCACTAAGTTTTTTACCAAAATTCTCCGGTTGTCGCAATATGTGCCCTATGAGCACCGCTGAATATGATAGAGATATATCGCTGAGCAAACTGCAGAAAAGTTTTTTTTAAATTGAATTTACCTGGTCGAAATTGCCTCACAAACACGAACTTTTTCAGCTTTGTATGGTATAGAATGGTAGCCACGCTACAGTGTCGAAGAACAAGATCGAAACTTCGCTTGCGGTTATCCTAAAAAGAACCTATCCGTAGTTGGACATATACTTCTCTTCTTACTAGGGATTCTTTTTCCATAGCTAGAGCCACATTCTGGTTGAACTTATTCAACAGTTGGTGACAAAAGTACGTGGGCCAACCCCAAACTGCCGTAGATTCGATGAATAATAACAAACCCTGGCATTTAGATGAAGGAAACGACACCTCGAGTTTGTTCAGGGACAAAAACGTAACCCAACTCGCCCCCAAGTTCCTACCGTAGCACTAGACGTGAAGTAATTATCAAAATAACGTTTTCTCATAGAATTAGGTGTATCGACCGTGGTTATTCGGCGGCACACGCAAATTATTTTACGTCTGGTAGTAAACAGTGGGCCTTGTGAAGCCCAGAGACCACTTTCCTGCCTTCTTACATGCGATTGCTGGACACCGTCCAAAAAAAAATCCGAAAACACCTTGTTTATTTTTTTACGAATAGATGACTCTAAGTTAAGGGAAGTCTCTCGCACATCAATATCCATTAGGAAAATCAACATTCAAGAGCCAAAACTTACCTGGGTAAAAGTGAACTTGAGTCCTTTAAGATATGGCGACACGAAATTTTCAATGAATGAGACCTTTTCAAGCCTCTCAGTTGGAGCTGGACACATCGGAGAAGGTTTTCTGAAACTATACCGGGGTTCATCCGACATACTCTGATTTAAAGAATAATTCACCGTGAAAATGAATTCCGACTGGTTACGATTGAAGTGGAGGGTAAGATCAGCCGTAGATCCTTCCCTAAGTTCAATTTCGTTAAACTTGAAGATGACAGTCGTGCTATTTGCATTCGAGGTTGAGAAGCTCAGAAAAGGGTAGGGGGAAGTTGGACTTGATTAGGGACTGCTGTTGGCCAAATGAACATTGATCAAATGAACAACAAGAAACATTGATCGAAGAGTTGGGTGAAATTCAACATGCTAAATGCTCCAAGTCAACTTGGCGCGGGTACGGCGCAATGTTAGAGGCGGCTTGCTTTCCCATGTGGGCGACTGAGCTATGAGGACAAACTTAGGACACCTTTGGAGGTTCCAATGAAAGGAATTGTTAGCCAACTGAGCTCACCTTTACCTACTCGTGCAAATACAACACCTACTCGTTCCCGTACGCGGGTAAGGGGTCTTCCAAGGTTACTCAATGGCACATTATGTCATCCCGACGTGGGGACTTCAACTCAGGATCGTAGTGACGTTTTGACTGGGTGTGTGGCCTGTGCAAAGACCTGTGGAGTCCAGGAAGTCATTTTCATAACCATTCCAGTCTATTCTGGCGCTAATTTAACGACTCCGGAGGGGTGGAGGCTTGTTCGGTCTGGGTGGGTATCGAGCAGGGATTCGTTCCCAGGACAATGCAGGGTGGTAGGGTTGATGTGTTCAAGTATTAGGAGCGCGGTCCCAACTCAAACTGTTCCTGAAAACATTGGGAATTCAGGTACCACAGTTTTTCTCCTGCAGTTCCTAGAACTCATCATAACCGTCACGTCTCCGTCGCTAACTCCTTTTAGAGGTCCTCGCCCTCTCAACCGTTTACCAGAAGGGTCTGATTTTAGTGCATAACGCCTACTCATACCTGGCCTTCCTTGGCCGCCACAAAGCAGGCCTAAAAAGCCGAAAGCCTAAAAAGCCAACAACACATCCCACTACTCGCTCAGCATAAAATTCATACATAATTCATCGTAAGTGGACGGACAGAGAGAGAGCGAACACCTGTGATAGGGTCCATATTGATTCTACAGAATCAGGTGAAGAATTCCGAAGAGCGATAAGAGCAATTTGGGCTGTGTTTGCCGAATGTTAAGATATCGGACGACGTGTCATCATAAGCGGCGAGCGGCAGTTGTTCAGAATGCAGTTGTCCGATTTCGTTGCCAAAGAACTACATATTCTCAACTATGTGGTGACTCAGCCCACTGTCAGTATCAATGGTGTCACCACCTTCGAAATTAAGGTATTTCGTCAAAATTTAGCCGTTTTTCAGTTCATGTTTATTTTTGGAATTATGCCAAGTGCCTTGAGTAGTTGAATAACAAGTTTTTACAAAATTGCGATAGAATTTTCAGAAAAAAATCGATCGCTTTTTGTTTTGTGTGAGTTTCACTTATAAATGTCGCACATTCGATTCAGAATCTACGTGTGGTCGCAAAAAGGGCTCTTTAGTGCGACTTTCTGAATTTTTCTCAAAAATACGACCCCTTCTTGTCCGACTGTTCCTCTTCATATCTATCCATCCATCAGATTCCTAGGAGGAAGCGTCTACAGGAGGAAGGGAGGGAGAGGGGAAGGGGAGGGGGGAGAGTTTTTCTACGAGAGGAAGTAAGTGGGAGGAGAAGGAAAAGGGGAAACTTTGTCTCATATTGAGATCTCAGGTCAGACTGCCTGAGCTCTCCTCATTTTGAATCTTTCGAGAGGAGTCAACTCTTTGTAAGTCTACTCCCCTCCTGCAGCAGAAAACACAGAGGGATCAAGTGATTGCATCTAATGAATAGTTTCTGCGATCCTACGTGCTCTCGGGTGCGCCCACGTTCTCCCCTCCTTCCGGTGCTTTCTACCTACTCACTATCGGCATACTGTAGATGGTTCGTTCCTGTTGGCGTCAATTCTGCTGACAATGCTTCAGCTTTCTCTAAGGCATCGAACTTATCAGCTCCTAAGCAGCGTTTCCGTTTTTGAAAAAAAAAACGCTTGCTTACTAAATATGGGGAAGATACCATGATTTAGCCCACAAAAAAGGGTAAACATGAACCCCCGGGGTAGAGGTGGAGCGATTATTTAGTGCCTGAGACATTTGGGCTCTTCCGGTTTTAGGGGTAGGGCTGAAACCATCCTGCGTTAGCTGTTAGAACCCCTTGTAAAGTAATGTTGGGCTGCCGCAGAGCGCTTAAAGTTAAGGATAAATTTTAGCCAATATATCAAGAGGTTCTTTTCTCGGAGCCATTGACAGAGCTCCCTTGCAAGTCGGAGAGGTAGCCATCTTCCCACAGAGACCCGTGGGAAGATGGCTAACTCTCCGACTCACAGAGACCCACGGTACTTGGTCCTCATACTTCTTTTTCAGAACGGACACATTCACTTTCGCGTCTTTTACGTCGAAAATGTAGACGAAGAATCTATGACTCTGTCAGATGCATCAAAGCTTGTAGGTTTGTTGCAACGAGTAAATAGCCCTAATAAGTCCTTCACCCTCTCCAACCAGTTTTTTTTACAGGCCGCTTTCTTCAATTCAAAGTTCTTCCATGAAACTGTGACCACAAATCGTTTGGGGATTCCTTGTGGTCATTTTGAGCGTTCATTTCGAATCGAAGATGACAATATTACGTATTTGGTATTTGTCGTGAGGATTGAAAAAGGTCGGCGGAAACATCATCTCAGCGAGAATGAGCTGTACCAGGTAAGCTAGAGAAAATCCCCATTTAGAGGTCATTTTCTGCGCCCATTTTGTCTTTTTACTTGTTTCAGAGTCACACTACTTGATATTTTACACCTATAACTTGTTTACCGGTTCCTTTTTTTACAATTTGTTGCTGTATTCTTGTTTTGTAAAACATTTTTCATAAATTATAAAGTGAAGTTGCCGGGTTTTTGTTTGGAAATAGAACAGGAGTTTTCTGGTACTAAAGAACGCAGTATGGGTGAAAGATAACTGAAAGTGATACCTAATGGTACTTAATGATACTGATGATAATGGTGTTTCAGGTAGCCGAAAAGCTTGGTGCAATACACGCAATCAACACGGAGTCCATGACTCCTGAGGTGTGACTTCTAATTTCCAATATGTTCCGAGCTCTCAAAGCGAAAATCCTGGACTTCTCTCCTGGTTTTCAGTTTTTGCGAGTGATTGGAGAGAACCATGATAACATCCGTCGTTATCAGGCTTCTATTGAGCCCAAGCTGATTGACATACTTGAAGATGCCCTTCATGGCGAACTATCACAGTACTTCTCTTTGCCGATGGAAGTTATACCAAGGGTGAATCACATTTTATTACGGGCTTTAGATCCAGAGATTTCTGGGCTCACATTATCATAGAGCTCCGTTACTAATTGGAATATTACTTTACTAGTAAATGTTTTTTAGTGACCAGGTACTGTTCCTTTCAAGGGAGTTCAATTAGACCGAAGATCATTTCAGCTGAAAGAAGTTCTCAAGCATGATGACGTCTTTATCGAACCACTGGAACGTGTCATTTGTCACGGACATTTATCAGCGGAAAACTGTCATTTCAAGGAAACCACCGAACACACTGTAAGCACTTCCGATACTGCGAAGAAATTTCTTCACTGAAGGGCCCCAGAAAAGGAAAACCATGGAGTTGGTCATATTCCAGTAGAAACGAAAAAATATCGTTGTAAATCTTTCTGTCTATATTAACATGTGTTACTCTACCTTTTTGGAGTCAGCTGGTGTTGTGGCAACTGGCACACCATCACACAGACGTGGTCAGGGGATCGATTCCCTATCAGTATTCGCCAAGGCTCAACAAGCCTTCCATCTTTCCAGTATCTTACATTTGATACTAGACTCGTCTGGGAGTTTGAAAGCACTGACTTCTATAGCGA